AAGTTTTAAAAAGAAAAATCTCTGGGTGCCCCCAGAGGTTCTGCTCTAATTGGCCTGGGGTGCAGCCGTGACATTGGAATTCTTGAAAGCTCCCTGTAGATTCTAATGTGGAACCCAGGTTAAGAACCACTAGACTAAATCATCTCGAAGACCCATTCAGATGTAAAATTACACAGTTCCATGTGCATCTACAAAAGGTAAAATTGAAATACCTGAAGCAGAATCTTGTTGCCGTCGTAGTCCCGTGTCTGCCACCTGGTGCTGCTGATGGGAACACACGGATTGGGTAGAAGAGGCACTAACTGGCCGATCTCCTGAACCTTGAACTGCAGCACCGAAGACTCTTTTGGGTCCACGGACATGCCCAGCGGCAGCTGCTTCAGAGAGAGCTGCAGAGAGAAGCTCTCTGTGGCATAGAGCACAAAGAAACAGAAGTTACTCTTTTGCAAGGTGGCCTCTGTCTGCAGGATCATCTCATAAAGCCTGATGGCGTCCTCATAGTTATCAAAACTGCAGTAGAGTGTCACCCGCAGGATCTCGGTGCCACCGCGCACCTGCCTCACGCCCCAGACGGGCATCTGGTTGTCCAGGCTGTAGAACTCCTGATTGGCAAGAAGATGGGGACACGGCCTCCCCTGCGCAGCCTGGGTGGGGTAGCACTGCCAGGGTGAATGCTGTAGGGAGCCCAGGACACGAAATAGCCGCTCCTCTCCGAGGCGTTCCTGCAGGAAGAGCAAGACAGACATCCCCGGGAACCGGGACCGCTTGGGCTGGTACTTTTCATAGTGTTTCACTGGACGGACCCGCTCGGACACCAGAAACAGACGGACCTCTGGGCAAATGCAATCCAGGAGCTGGTCCAGAGTCTGCTGCAGAAGCGAGCCGTGCCCAGAGCTGGCGAGGAGATGTACAGTCATGGCCAGAGGCACCTGTGTCTCATCCATGATGGAACTGCCTATGGATGACAAAGAAAACCAGCGTGCAGGGCCCGCTGTCCAAGTGTCTGAAATGAATGAAGGAGACGGAAGGCCTTGTTGGTTCCCAAGCAGAGTCTTAAGCCCAGCAGAAAACCTTCAGCTGCAATGGCTACTGCAGAGTGGAGCTCCTAACCAGGCTGGCACCAGCTCCTGGCTGCCCGTGGCTGCACAGACAGAGCATGTCACTCCAGTTCAGGCTCAGCAGCCTCCCTACACACCAGTGGTGGGGTCGACGTCACCCCACTTGTGCAGATGAGCTGCTTGTGTTTGGCTTTTTCAGGCGTTCCCCAGGGTTTCTGTTTGACCTAAAAACCTATAATCCTGAGAAACACTTGAATGGGTGGTTCTTACAGACAGTAAAGGAAATGACTGGACAAAAAGGAACGTGAGCAGCTCTTTTAGGCTGATAGCAATCTGTTCATTTGAAAAGACATCCACTTTAGTGACC